CTGCTGAGTAAAATCCCAGCAGTCATCTCTGTATATAGATAAAATAACATATGTAAAAAATCTCTATGGTGAAGAATAGAACCAAGGACGACTGTGTACACCTGGAGTTTAACTATATAGCACAATGTTGGTTTTGCCACAGCTTTTCATACAGCTGTCTAACCTGAGGAGGAAGGTTGATCGGCTTATTGTGATTGTATCAATTCTTTTGGCTGACGTAAAAGAAAAATAGGACACTAATTGTGCTTCTGATTCAAGTGGAGCTGTGAAGCAAGGGTTTGGAATGCTTGGCATCTGAATCTAGGTTTTACAGGAGGTCAAAGCAGTGTCAAAAGCTTCTTATAAGTCTTGATGTATGACTCATTTAGACTGCTGTTTTAGACATCTCTGGGTCTCTGTTTGTCAGATGTTCTTTTGTCTCTACCAGTATACCCCCCCCCAAGAGAACTATAGAAGAAACTCTAAGACTTTCTCATTCATTTACCCTTAAAATATTCCTCTGTAAAAGTCAGATTCTTGATGATCGGGGTTTCTGGAGCACACACTTCCCCTTTTAAAAAGGTGTCTAGATTGCACTTATAACTGATAAGTTTTATTATATTTGTGTGGCATGATTTCCTAGAGTTGCTTGTTACTGGTATCACTTGACCACTTGGGGTTTGCCCTGGGCAAGGTTCAGTCGCGTTGCATTCACTTCTGTTGCTGTCTGTGCTGCTCTGTTTGCTCATTCTAGGGGGGATGCTCCCCCAAATGTGTTTCTTCAGAATCCGGTGCAACGAATAACAGCTCTGGGTATAGCTCAGAAATATTTGCAACAGGGTGAGAGGATGCAGGTATTTAATTGAATCTGATAGTGCAACCATGCGACTTGCCAGGTCTCACCTGGGGCAGTTGGCAGTCACCACTTGTTGAGAAGATTTGTACTTGACTGTAGCTCGACTACCCTGCCTTCCATCTGCTTGACTGTCTGCTTGTGCTATTGCCTGGTGTACCACCCTTGATTGGTCGACTGAAGGACCTATACCTCGATTTCTAGGCTGGAAGCCATATCCCTGTGCTGTGTCACCTGCCTGAATTGCTTGTTTTTACTTCTACTTTAAAGAGTGCCTGGCCCCTTAGGGCAAAGGGTAGACAAATAGCTACTCACCTGACTGGCATAATTCCCATTTCTGGATGGAAAGCCAAAATATACACCCAGTCTGTCCTCTAAATGTCCAGGACGATGGGGTGTAGTGTTGGACACAGCAGTTAGAGTGTCAGACCAGGATCTGAGAGACCTGGGTTCAAACCCCCACTCTGCCCTGGAAGCTTGCTGGGCAATCTTGGGCCGGTTACACACTGTTACCCTAACCTGTCTCCTGGCAGGGTTGTTGTGAGGGTAGAAAAGGGAATGGTCCTTTGGGTCCCCATGGAGGAGAAAGGGAGGGTATAAAGTAAGTTGAGTAAAGTGTAACAGGTATGTGGAGTGGAGCCAGGGAGAGATGACCACCCCCTGGAATTATTACTTAATGAGACTGTGTTTATTGTGTGACTTGCTGTTTGCCAGCTATTAGGCATTGCTCTAAAATTGGCTTGCACTGTGGTCTGGTTGCTTCTAATAGCCTGTTGTAAGTGGCATGATGTGAGCGTGTCAAGAGGTAGCTGCTCTTGAAGTCTGTATGGCTTTCCTTTCGTTTCCTTTTGACTGTTTCTGTCTCCGTGCTTGTTTGCTGGGTAGTGCTTACAATTGCGGGGAAAGGCTTGGACATACTCCAAGGGTAGATGCTGGTAGAAATCTTTAAGAATGGGAACTTGACACGATCGCCTGGGAGGGCAGCCAGTGGGCCGGCAGGAGATCCATGTAGTGCCTGTATATGTTGCTGATATGCCAAAACTTTGGCCATTTGGCC